AATTTTGTTTAGTTTCACTATCCATTTCCATTTCCTCTTTGTTTTGTTTTTACACACAGCAAAATGTTAACATTTCGTATATTAAGAAATTTCTATTCATTTAACATACAGGTTAACGATATACATAATTCAAAAGTATATTAAAAGAGTATTCTTTAAAACTTACATTTTTAGCATATTCTTTTCTTTCCATAAAATTTTTCTATATTTTTTATTGAATTAAAGAAGATTAATATTTTTTTTTAATTTTCTACTTATTTTCATAAAAAAACACACATTTTATTTTTCATTTTACTTATTTGCTTTAAAAACTTTACTCTTCTTTTCGCCAAAAAAAAAAAAAAAAAAAACTTTTTTCTCTTTAACATTGGCTCTACTATTTAAATTTTTCTCTTAACACAACACTAACACTACCACACTATGTATAAAAGCAACGAATGTCCGGCCCCAACAAAAAGGAAACAACGAACGGCTTAGAAATGACAAATAATTTTCTACAACTTAATACACTTTTTTCTTATATTAATATGAAACTTTTCGAAAAAACTTTTACACAACGACATTAATTAAAACTTTTATTATATTTTTATGCAAAAAAATCGAAATTTAAACAACTATTTCCTATTAAAAAATTTAATTTTCTTAAGACACTTCCACTAGACAACCGAACCGTATGAAATTTGCGCGTAAACTAAATATGGGAGAACTAAACAGATAAACAAGTGCATAAATGAATACTAAAGAGTTGCAAAAGAGAGTATGCGTATGCAGTTTATTTGTTGTAATTTATGATTTTTAATGACAAATTGGGATTAGATTAAAAGGGGAATAGAAAAAACATTATTTTTTTACTTTTAACGAAATTTTACTATTTTAATAAGTTAAGTTATTTTAAATGAATTTTTATGGATTTTGTAAAGATGAATAGTGTCCAAAACACACTAAACCCTTTCCTCCATTCAAAGCTTCGTTGAAAGCATGTGGCTTCCTTAAACTCTGGAATTGATGGTGCCTCTATTATTGTAATGCAAATCTGAAATGTAGATATGAGTTGATATCCGAGGTGTTCTTTCTTTTGGGGAAATCAAAATCACTAGACTACAATGTTCAGAGATTAGATTGCTCGAGTACTTGATGATAGTACTTGTACATAAACCGCCGTCAGCAATGTAAACAAATTGCAAGTCACAATGTGTCAGTGATGAGTCGTCTCTAGCTTACACTGTGGTTAATAAAGACCACAGTGGTCTTAGGCTGAAAGGCATGCACTAATGTGAAGAACTCTGGGAATCTGTTTATAATGAGTATAGTCAACTTTGTTTGCAAATTAGATGACTTTACTTTGTCCTTGATTATGAAAATGCCAGTTGGGGTAAATAGTTAAGTTTTTAAATATTAATTTATTTCGTAAATTTGCAAAAATGCTCCGTACAGAGTACATATTTTGAATCGATATGTTAGTTAATAAAGTATCAATATAATACTTAAAGTGTGTTCAATCCGTATCCGTAAAGACCGTCGCAACATTTTTTTTTGTATGTATGGCAACTGAACTTCAGTTGCGTTGCCAGTTTCAAAATAAGAGAATGATTTCAGTTTAGAAATGGTTTAAATCAACGAAAAACTCATTGGACGAATATTATTAATGAATAAAATGTTCATTATTTATAAAGTTGCCAAGTATTGCTTAAGAAACGTCTAGAATCCACATCATTTTGGCAACTGGCAACGCAACTGAAGTGGCAACCGAGACCAAATATGTATTAAAAAATCATAAAAAATTTTTTTCCCGGGGAATTTGTTCCCTCTTCCATACATAAAGCATGCAAAAGGGAATAAACTTCCGGGGAAATATTGTTCATAATTGGCCTGGTTGTAATGACTTATACTTAATTACTCAAGAACTACTACATACCGATTGCATAGCTTAGAAAGAGTGTAGTATTGACTTACAAATAACATTATATGTATTGGGAAATTGACATAGTAAGTACTTACCTAATTCTCTACTTGTAAGCAACGGTAAGTACTTGTCTCCAATATCATCACCGTATTAAAATAATGACTTAAAATACTATTGTTTAAGGTCGTCGATACTATTTGAAATATTCTCAAAATGTATTAATTGCTGTTCTCATTACGGAATTCTAACAGTTGAAACCCGTACAAAATAAAACGGAACAGAGGAAAAGAAAGAAGCAGTTTCCTTTTGTTTCAATGCTTTACGATCGTACCTAGGTTTTCGTAAGTTATTCACCCCTATTCTGCATTTCACTTATGTTTACGTATGCAGTTACGCTACGATTGAAAAATATGCGATCCAACAAAGAAAATGAATCGTAAGAAAAAGAAGAAGCAATTCCATTTCGTTTCATTGCTTTACGATTGTGTGTATTCTGCATTTCGTAAGTTGTTGTTTATGTGGCATAGAATCGAATCGAAATGCAGAATACGTAAGTTGCCAAACCATTCGAATTGAAATGCAGAATAGTGGTGATTATATTAGTAACGGCACGTCGAATAGAATATCAAAGTTGCCAAAATGAGAAAATTTTCGAATCGAAATGTGGAATAGAGGTTTGTAATACTGTTGCAAATTACACTTACATCTAAAATCGGTAGAGTAATTCAGCTACATTCATGTTTTAAACCTTCCTGAAGAAGAGCTATGTTTAATTAAGATATTTTTAAGTGTTCAATGCGACTAAAGAAATGGGGGCTATGGGCCGATTGTTACGTCAAAAATAATAAAACCAAATATCAACTTTTCGGCACTAAAATAACTTACAAAAAAGTAGCTACGATCGTAATGCAAATTTTTCACAATTGCAAAAAATTTAAACGAAATGGAAATGTTCTTTCTTTTTTTGGAATACTTTTTTCGATCGTTGCATTATTGAATACGGAAACGTAAACGTAATCGTAATGCATAATAAGGGGAGTATTAAATTTATTGAGAGCAATAATCAACAGCCTTGAAGTTATTATTTGTTTTTGTCAAATTGGCAACTCCACAGTCCTTCGTAACTTATATGATATCCAAATGAAAACTTAATTTATTGAATTCAAAATTTGATTTCTTGGTTTGCCTCCAGTATAGCTCTCTTTCTCTCTCTAGTTGGTTTTCAAAAAACATCTTATACAAACAATGAGATAATTTTTAAACATTATACATTGTTTTTTTAGTGTATTTAATTATTATTTGTGGCTTTTTTATAAATCAAAGTTTTTTTTTTTGTTTCATTTATTATCATCTCTATGTACGAAAGGAGGTTGTAGTTCTTCTGGCTCTTACGAAACTTGGAGTTTTGTTTGTTTTTTCCTTTTTGGTTTTTTGAAAAATCATAAAAAAGTTGAGTAAGAAATTTTAAATAAAAATTAACCTTAAACAATACATACTTTTAGTTTGTTGTTGTTAAGTATTGCAAAGGATTTGTGGTAAATTGTTTGTTTGTTTGTATTCAAGTACTTATATAAAATATATATATTTTTTAATTTATTTGTATTTTTTTTAGATAATACAATATATGAAGAAAAAAACCCAAAAATAAATACAAAAGCGAGGAAATTTTTTAGTTTTATTTAGTAGAGAAAATTTAGTAATGAAAGAAAAAGAGAAACTTAGTTTTTTACGACAAAAAGTAAGAGGAGGGAGGTGTGGTGGTGTATTTATAAAAAAAATGTATTTATTAAAAAAATATTTTGAAAAAAGAATACTCAAAGAAGAGCCATTAAAAGCTTATTTATTTATAGTTTCATTTTATAAATATTCTGTGAAAACAAAACAATTTGTTTTATAATTGAAATTTTCAATTTCAATAATTTGTTTTTCTTTATTAATAGAAAATATTAAATTGTTTTTTTTTTTTTTTTTTTTGCATTTGCTAAAGCTTTAATGGCACAAAATTATAATTAAATTAGATTTTTGTTGTAGAAAAATATCATTTTATGAATATAAAAAAAAATTAAATTAAAAAAATTTGTAAATTTTATATTAAATATTATTAAAAGAAAACAATACATAATACAAAGTAGTTTTGTTGAAATAAAGGTCATATTCGGTGAATTTTTAATTTATATTATTTTTTTTTTTTTATTTTTTAATATTTTTTTTTTATTTTTTATGTTCAAACGCATTATTTAGCAATAAATTATTTGTGTTTTTTTTTTGTTTTTTTATAATAAATTGTAATTGTTTTCACATTTTGTTTTATATTTTTTAGCATTTAGTGATTTTTAATTTTGTTTTTGTTTTGCACTAGGTCTTTAAAGTTTACAAATGATTATAAAGAATTTTTAAACTATTTTTAAATAATTATTTTAAATGATTTGATTTATAATTAATAATTATCTTTTTATTAAATTAAATAATTTATAAAACTAAACAAATTTATAATTTAAGCATTTTACAATGAAATTTTTATTTCGTATAGAATTAAGTTTAAATTTACTAAATCAAAAGCTTTACCAGAATCCTAAAACAAGGTTTTTATTTAAATGTTTAAACTTTTTGTTGTAATATTGAAGTTTTGGTTCAAAACAAGTTTACGAGTGTTTAAAATTCAACTTTAAGCTTGAGAATGTTGAATGAAATTTGCCTTTTTGTGACAAATCTTAAGCCATGCAAGAGAATCAATTAAAAAAAGAGCTAAATAACCATAAAAAATAAAAAAATACGGAATTGTTACTTAATATAACTTCAAATTATTAACTTGAACGAACAAAAAATGAGATCTACTGTCAAAATCAAAGAGCGTTTTATTAAAAAAAAGGTAAAGAATGCTGTTTTTTATATTTTAAAATAAAATTCAAACCTACAAGCTTAAAACTTGAAACTTAATCTCAGCGGACTGTTGAGTAATTCTAAACGAAAATGAAACGTTTAGATTTTTAAATAGAATTTAAAAATATCTCTTTGTTTAACCAAGAGGAAGTTTGAATTTGTCTGCCAGCAAAGTTTTAAAAGAGTAACCTCTCTAGGTTCTTAATATTTAAATAAATTTTCTTATTTTGTTCAAAAACCCCATAAAAAACAAAAGAAAACTATAAATAAATTGTGTTAATTTTTTCTAATAGAAACTTTTGTAAATTTTAATTTTTAAATAAAACGATAAAAACTAAATTATATATTTTTTTTTTACAATTAATTAAAGGTAAATTTGTTATGAATATAAAAAATAATACAATAAGTTTATTAATAAAACGACATCATCATAATCATTTGTAGACTTTTGTGGCCTAGTGTACTTTGATTATTTAAATTTATTTTATATCATACTAAATATTGTTTTTTTTTAAGTTGGTTTTTTTGCAATTTTTTCCAAATTATTACATTTTATTATTAAATTGTTTTAAGTATATGAGTGTGTGTGTGTTGATGATTGAGTGTTTCGTTTGCATGAGAATGTTTTGAATGAATGAAAGAATTTGTTGGTAGGAGAATTCTGCACGTGCTCTTCCTTAAATAGTTAAATTTATTCAAGAAAGGTTATTATTGGTTGTATAGAGGAATTTTAAATAGTGTTTACTTATGCCTCGCTTTCGCCTTTCTTAGTACTTTTTTTTAATTAATTATAAACTATTTTTTAGCAATTTTATTTTTTATGATTTTTTTTCAACTTTTTATTTAATATTTTCTTAATTTTAAATAATGTTTTATTTTATTTTCTTTTAATTAACTGTTTTTTTTTGTGTTGTATTGTTTTGTAAATTTTTATAGTTGAGCCTTTTAATTAGAAAAAATGCTTTAGAGGCTCCTTCTTCTTCTTTTACTCTCGCTCTCCATCTGACTTGTCAAATGTTTGTAGTCCTTCTTCTTTACTTCCTTACTTTTCCTTTGCATGCCTGGGGCTTCTTATCAATTTGTTTAATAAGCGGCCGCCTCTTAATCCTTTTCTTATGATCGTATTTCTGAGGGGGTAGGAGGGGTTAGATGTGTGTATTTAAAAAAAAACGAAATGTACGGGGCTTATTTTAAGTTTCTTTTCTTTAAAATTATTACTTGCTTTTGTTTTTAATTTAAATTTTTCTCTATTTTTATTAGAAGTATGGTTTTTTCATTTTTTTGTTTTCTTTTTTTTTCTAAATTACAGCTTTGTTGTAACTAATTGTATATAAATTATTTTGTTTTCTTTAGTTTTAATTTTTTTATCTTAACGCTGTTTTTATTTAGGTTTTTCATATTTTACTTTCATTCTCCAACTCTATCTCACCTTTCATCATCAAATACCACATCCATACATCTTTCTACCATTGTTTATATTTTCCTTGTAATTTATTGTTGTTGTTTGGTGTTTACTGATGATGATGACGACGACGAACGACGGTGTTGATGCTGCTGATGATGATGTGACGACGATGTTGTTCCTGATTGTTGGTTGTTGTTGTTGTTTACTGGTTTTTTATAAATTTGGATTTTTTCCCTTTATGATTTTTGTTGTTGTATTATTATCATTAGTATTTTATATAGTAATAAATGTAAATGTTCTTGTAATGTTATCTTGTCGATAATTTCTCTTAAAGGAAATAATCTGGTGTTCTTCGTGTAACATGTGGTTCTCCACGTCTGGGTGCTGGGTCGAATTGTAGGCTGGAAAAGAGAGAATGATAGAGAATTAGTTATAATTTGTAAAATGAAATGAATTTCTTGTCCTTTTAGTACACATTTTGAAATTTTTATAAAAAAATCAGCAAATTCGTAGCATTTTCAAAAATTCAAAAAAAATCTATTTCGATCGAAATTTTCTAAAAAATTAATTTTAAATTTTCAAAAAAGTTAAAAAATTTTTATATTCTAAAAACTTTCAAAAATTATTCGAATCATTTCGACATAAAAATAGCATTAAATAAAATGTTCTTAAAATCAACTTCATATATAATATTTTCCAATTCTATAAATATTTTTTAAAATACAGATAAATAATTTAAATTATTTAGCCTTTAAGTGCAATTTACGTAATTTGTTATCTAGTTTATTATAAAAGAAAACTTAAAAGTATTACACCTCTGCTTAATGAAATAATTTGAAAATGCACACGCTATAAACAAATTGATAAATAAATATTTGTGAGAAATAACGAAATTATAAACATATAAACAGATTAGATAAATAACTAACAATATAATAATAAAAATAACAAAAAAAAACTTGACGTTATAATATTTCACAACGTAAAAACAAAATTAAAACAGTATTTTTTAGAAATTTTAAATTAAAATTGAACTTTGTTTTCAAACATTTAAAAACGTGCAGGATTTAGAATTTAAGAAATGTAAATGATTTTCTAATAAAAAGGACGATTTTAAAATAGAAATCGAAAAATTTGATATGAAACGATATTTTTTTAAATTTTAAACACTTACAATGAAAATTTGAGTGAATCGTCTAATTCCATAAGAGCCGCTTGATTACCACAACGATAACAATAATTTGGCGCTGAGAAAATTGTGACAACATTACGATCATGACACCAATTATAGCCCTCCATAACCAATTGATGGGCACGTGACACCAATGTTAAACCATTTGTATTGTTAAATGTTTCTGAAATATCCTGCGGGAAAAAATAAAGAATAAAATATTAGCACTAAAGCACATAATAACTTATATACCATATTTAAACTTACTTGACCAAAGGTGTAACCAGCACCACGTGGTGAAATACCCCAGCCACCCCTATCATCGGGATCAGACCAGAGTAAATCGCACATGGGTCCCTCATGCGGCACCTCTTGTAAGCGATCCAGCGCGCGGATGTGATCCAAACTATCAATCGATGGACTTAGACCACCATGCAAACAGAAGATTTGGCCATCGACCAAAGCAGTCAACGGTAAATAGTCAAACAAGTCGGTGAAATATTTCCAAACATTTGCATTACCATATTTGCGCAGACATTCATCGTAAAAACCGTAGACCTGTGTAATCTGTCGCGATTCGTGATTGCCACGCAATATGGTAATTCTTTCGCGATAGCGTACTTTTAACGCCACCAATAGTGTAACAGTCTCCACCGAATAGTAACCACGATCGACATAATCACCCATGAACAAGTAATTTGTGTCGGGAGATTTGCCACCTATCCGGAATAGTTCCATAAGATCGTGGAATTGACCATGTACATCGCCACATACTGTAACAGGACATTTAACTTCTTGAACATTTGATTCCTTGGAAAGAATTTCCTTGGCCTAAAACGAAAAGATAATTAAAGCTCGATTATTATAAATTAATTATTTTAAACTATTACAAGTACAAAAGTTCTAATAACTAATATGAAAATCTATATTATTACATTAAAAAGATTACAAACACGTGTTTTAATAATGATTTTATTTATAAACTGTAATTTTATTATTAGTTTATAAAAACGCTGAGTAATATTGAATTGTTATAGAGCAATATTATAAATATTTGTTTGACAAAATCTTGTTTTTCTTTTGCCATTAAAATGCTTGTAATTTTACAAATCTGCAAAATTTCAAAAATGTCGAAATTATGAAATTTGGAAATATGGACCAATATAATATATAAATATAATTTCTCAAAATTTTGAAAAAGTTTCAAAATTAGGAAAACTGTTACACAAATTTTGAACTTTTTTAATTAAATATCAAATGAAAAAAAAATATTTTTTCCAACCATTTCTAAACATTACTGCATCATAAATCTCTTAAATTCATAAAATCTTTAATTAACATATTTTTCGTTTGTCTTTTATTCAAAAATGCATTTTTATTAAAATCTTTCTTCATTAGGTGGGAAATACAAACAAAATAAAAGAAAAATATACAATTTTTTGGCAAATAGTTACGGAAGACTTTTATTGTGTCATCATTAATACAACATCATCATCAACATCAACATTGCAATTTTTGTTTGTTTAAATTACACCATTCACCATAACTAACGTCTCGACTGTCTGTGATGCTACTTCTTCTTTATGATAATTTTATTTGTGTATTTGTTATACATATATTTTTTAAAATTAAATTAAATTTATATTTGTTGTTGGATTGTTGTTTTAATGATTGTGAACAATGAACGGCCCTGATGATTTTTTGTCGCCTCTATCATTTATCTAATTTTATTGTCTTTCATCTCATCTCTTTTGGCAGCTCAAAACACATTTTGTCTCTTCTATCCTCTCTCTACCTTTAAGTTATTTAGACTCTAAAGTTTTGAGTTTGTACGATAGACATTTACGTCGTCAAAGAGTATTGCCAATTTTTTTGTTTTATTTACATTTAAATGTGTCCCTTTTATTTTTTTTCTTTATGTTTGTGTGTTACACTAGTGTAATAATTGTGGACCAACAAATGATTTATTTTTAATTGTGATAAATTTAAAAATAAATATCAGTCATTACACGAACATACACACAGAGACACGCCACTAATTTTCATGTCAGCTTTAGTGCGGTACTATCTATCACTATCAAGGCAGTGGCGTTTATCATTTTATTTTCTGTTATCTTTTTCAATTTCTCTCTGTTTCGGAATTCGCAGGGAGAAAGAGATAGAGTGGGTTTTGGGGGAACAAGTTTAAGGGTTAGATTAAGTTTAATCGATTTATTTACATTTAAATGGTTTTAGGTCATTGAGTTAATTGGTTGTGAGTAGCATTGTTTAAAAATAGTTTTTTTTTTATTTTATTTTCTTCATTGATACTACTATTTACTTAGTCGTTTCATGATAATGTGCAAATGAATTCGGCATTTTGAAGACTTTGATCAAGGAAATTGTTTAAAAAAATGCAATTTTTGCGATTGCACAATCTTGTGTCTCTGGTGATATTTTATTACAAGGGAAATTGTTATTATTCGAAATTAAAAAAATTGTTTAATGATAAATAAATAAATTGTTTGTCTTTCTTTGTTTATATTTGATATGGTGTTTTATTTATTTGTAGAATGTGAATATCATTGCAAGATTACTGATTGATGGTTTTTTGCTAAGCTTGCATATCGTTTTAGTAAATTGAATAAAATTATTTAATTTTTAGTTTAAAACATCGCAATGATAAAATAAGACTAGACTATAGACTAGATTATAGACTAGACTATAGACTAGACTATAGACTAGACTATAGACCAGACTAGACTAGACTATAGACTAGACTATAGACCAGACTATAGACTAGACTATAGACTAGACTATAGACTAGACTATAGACTAGACTATAGACTAGACTATAGACCAGACTATAGACTAGACTATAGACTAGACTATATAGACTACTATAGACTAGACTATAGACTAGACTATAGACGACTATAGACTAGACTATAGACTAGACTATAGACTAGACTATAGACTAGACTATAGACTAGACTATAGACTAGACTATAGACTAGACTATAGACTAGACTATAGACTAGACTATAGACTAGACTATAGACTAGACTATAGACTAGACTATAGACTAGACTATAGACTAGACTATAGACTAGACTATAGACTAGACTATAGACTAGACTATAGACTAGACTATAGACTAGACTATAGACTAGACTATAGACTAGACTATAGACTAGACTATAGACTAGACTATAGACTAGACTATAGACTAGACTATAGACTAGACTATAGACTAGACTATAGACTAGACTATAGACTAGACTATAGACTAGACTATAGACTAGACTATAGACTAGACTATAGACTAGACTATAGACTAGACTATAGACTAGACTATAGACTAGACTATAGACTAGACTATAGACTAGACTATAGACTAGACTATAGACTAGACTATAGACTAGACTATAGACTAGACTATAGACTAGACTATAGACTAGACTATAGACTAGACTATAGACTAGACTATAGACTAGACTATAGACTAGACTATAGACTAGACTATAGACTAGACTATAGACTAGACTATAGACTAGACTATAGACTAGACTATAGACTAGACTATAGACTAGACTATAGACTAGACTATAGACTAGACTATAGACTAGACTATAGACTAGACTATAGACTAGACTATAGACTAGACTATAGACTAGACTATAGACTAGACTATAGACTAGACTAGACTAGACAATAGACTAGACTATAGACTAGACTATAGACTAGACTATAGACTAGACTATAGACTAGACTATAGACTAGACTATAGACTAGACTATAGACTAGACTAGTTTATAGACTTGACTATAAACTAGTCTATAGTCGATTGCACAAAAATTGTCCAAATGTTCATTCATTTCAAGTAATTTTCATTTAAGAATTCCACAGTGTATTATCTTAAAACAAAAATTTTGCACTTTCGCCAAAAGAAACAAAATTCTGACATGAAACATACACTCACACCTTTATTATTTAAAAAATTTTTTGCATTGTAAACAAAACAAATCTTTAATGTAATTATAATGATGGTTGTTGGTTGGTGAACATGAAAATTACAACAACAGCCATTTGATAATATCTTTTGGATGTTGTTGTCTGTCGATGGTTGTGCTTTCTTTTTCTATAATAATTTACTAAACATGCAATCAAATTATTTTGCTTGAAGAAAGTTTTGTGACAGCAATAAACTTAAAGAGAAATATTAATATAAATAATATACATACATAATAAATAGTCATAATAAATAACTAATAAATAATGTTTAAATAATTTACAATTCAAGAAAGTAAACTCTTTTTCCTCCTGCCAGACATCAAGCTCTTCCAAGACAATTACAACGGAAATCGATTGATTGTGGATTTCATGTCATGTTTAAGTCATAGATTTTGGCTAAAGTTGTAGTTGTATGTACACATGCATTTTAAATTTCTGTTTTAATGGGTTTACGGAAAAAATACAAACATGTTGTATTTTGAAGACCCAACTACAGTATTGGCCTTAAAATTTAAACGCCAGTTAAACACTTAAAATTTGTGTTGAATTACTTAAGTATTTCTATAGCTTAAGCCGTTAACTGTTTATTTCATTTTTTTGGAGACTCACGTGATCAATGTATGCAGTCAAGCAAGCACAAGACTTGTAAATGTAAATTTTTATTTTACTCTGTAACACTAGTCAAAAAAAGTTGTGTCATTTTTTTTTTGGTGTGTTTATAACTCACGATTTATTTATTTATTCTCATGGTCTATCTAGTAGTTTTTTCCTTGTATATTATTTTTATTATGTAGTAAGAGTGAAGGTAGACAGCGATGTCGTCGTTTTTTTGTTAATATGTTTAGCAGAGGTTATTGAACTTCAAAAACAAAATTATTTATACGAAATTATGATGAGATCTTGTGATAAAAATATTTCTAAATATTTTCAATTTGTAAAAAAGAAAATTTTTAATATATAATTTGATATTAATTGCTTACGTACAATTGCCAAATTAAAAAGTCATTATAAGAGCAAAAAGAGTATTATTTTATCAAGAAAGCAGAAAAAAAGTTAATTTGCACTTGAGAATTAAAAAGAAAATAAGAATACATTTCTGACGCAATTTCTGATGATGTTCGGTGATATAATAAAATACATTTATATTAATTTATTTTTATATATAAAAATTCATTCATATTTTTATTATGCAAGAAAGAATTGGATTAAGAAAATATTTAATTCTTTTATAAAAATAACTTATTTTTAAATTTTTTTAATTTTTGGTAATATTATAAATGTAAAATATTTATGTGAAATGGTTTTGTAAAAAATGCTTTTTAGCGAACAGCTTTCAAAATAATGTTTAAAAAGATTTTAAGCTACTATTAAAAGCAATTACGCTTTTTTAAAAAAGCTTTTAAGGTATGTATTTAGATAAAACTTTTTTAAAAGAGCTTTTCCTTGTTGTTCTTAAAGCTTAAAGCTTTTATAAAAAGTTTTTGATCTTAAAAAAAAAGCTTTTTTTGTAAAAAAAAAATGTAAAGTACCAAAGAGCTTTTTTATGAATTTTTTTATCTTTCGAGCTTTTTCATTGAACAAATTCTTAACGTTTTTTACAAAAATTGTTCTTTTAGAAAGCTTTTTATAGGAGATATGTTTTCTAGAATCTCCTCAAATTCTCAATCACAAAAGCTTATAAAGTTTATACCGAGCAATTTTCAATCACAAAAGCTTATAAAGTTTTTATGGACCATACTTTTTTGGTGAAAAAGGTTAAGATTTTTAAAACTGCCTTAAAGCTTACTTTTTTGGTGAAAAAGGTTAAGATTTTTAAAACTGCCTTAAAGCTTTCTCGA